TCGCTATCCGGACAAGATACCCCGGCCGAGGTACCTTGGCAGCTTATAAATATGCTGCCGTCTAGATCCAACGCATTCTACCACCAAGGTCCGCGCCAAGGGTCAAGCCCTAAGACGATTTGCTACCGGAACATTTAACCTAGCCAAGGCGCTTTACCACCGAGGTCCGTACCAAGGGATTGACCCGAGCTGATTAGTCATTGGCTACCGGACCTCTTACCCTAGCTAGGGCGCCCTATTCAACAAAGATTTGCCAAAGGGGCATACCCCTATTGGCCTAGCATGCCTAAGCGACCTTTCCTTTGGATGTTTCTCGGCTCTGCCCAATTTAGCTGATGAATTTGGTCATTAAATTACACATGTAACTTTTTCGGACGCGATCTCGTGGCTCCTAACTTAATAGAGAAGGGGTCAGGAGGTGGAGGGGTGTGTTTTTGCCCCTAGAAGATGTTGGGGTGAGTCAAATTTACAAGGTCACCTGCACCACTTTCACGTTTTCTCGGGACTCCCGTCATACCACAACCCCCTTTGGCCTCCACGGTCACATGGAACGTCTCTACCTCCTTGACCCGAAAGAGCGTTTTGTATTTCCGGTCCTGGTCCGCCCATGCCACCCTCTTGGTTGGCTTGACCCGGATGAAATCCCCTACCCTGATCGGCTCCAGACTAGTTCAATGCCGATCGAAGTCGACCTTCTGCTTCTCCTGTGCCTTATCATGGTTCTCAGCTGCCTTTGCCAGAGCCAGCTCCATTATCCGAGGACCTCTCATAGATAGACCCAGCTGCTGCATCGGCTTCCTCCTCTGTGGATAGCCCGGTCAGCTCTTTCACCTCCCATTCCGTCAAGGTACTACCCGTGATGTTGGGGTGGCGGCCATAGAGTAGGAAGAAACGGGAGAATTTGGTGGAGGAATGGATAGAGGCCCGGTACCCTCCCCAGATATTCTCATCCCATTCAAACGGGTTGGTCTCCCCCAACCTAACCATTGCCCTTTTTCAGTGTCCGCTGGAACCTTTCGGTGAGCCCCGAGATCTGAGGATGATGGGGTGAGAGAATTCGTGGTAGATCCCGAACTTTTCCAGTAGCACCCCGAACTCCCCATGGAAGTGCTGCCCATTGTCCGTGTGGATCACCAGCGGGCAGCCATGTGCAAAGATGATTTTTCAGCTACAAATGCGGCTGCTATCGCCGAATCCGCTTGTCTCGCCGCCTTGCACTCGGGCCACTTGGTGAAGTGGTCCATAGCCGATATGATATACCGGTTTCCCCCCTTTTCCGTCAGTGGTAGTGGGCCGACGAAGTCGATCACTACCCTGTCCTATGGCTTTGTTACCGGGACCGATCGCAGCTCCCCTTTTGTCGTCCAAGATCCCTTCGGGAAAGTGCAGGTATTGCACCCATGTACGAAGGCTGATACGTCACTCCCCATGCCGTACCAGTCGTACTGCTTCCGAACCAAGTCGGTGGTGCGTTGGACCCCAAGGTGCCCCAGCCCGTGAAGGATACTAATGATTTCCCCCCTTTCCTCCTTCTTAGGGACCAGCTTTTTATCCCCGTTGCCTTCAGGTTCTAGATCACTCCATCCCGTAGTTCGAACTTCTTTCCTCAACCCCACACCCTCCGCTTCTCAGCCGTAGTCCATGCCGGATCAACCTCCCCGCACTCCAGGTAGAACAGGGTATTGAGGTCGTCCCATATGTCTAGCGTGGTCGTCTCGGATGCGAGATTTTTACCCGACTGCTCTCCATCCTCGGTTCCGTGTGGGGGTCCAACTCCCCCAGCCCCTTTTCCATCCCCCTTTGAGGCCATAGCTGCTTCCCCCGGTTGAGCGCCATCCTCCTTCGAGGGCCCGGCTTCCTCTTTCATTTTCCCCTAATCCCGTCTGACCTTTTTGAGAGGCTGCGTCATTGGCAGTGACGGCTTCCTCTCCTCGGACCCTTTAGGGTCATTCTCTTGCCCTCCTACTCCTGGGGCCACCATCTCCTCATCTTCCTTGTCCGTCTCCTCCTCCTCCTCCTTATCCTCTCCTTCGTCCTCGCCATCTTCATCCCCGGATCCATTTGCTTCATCGCCCTCTTCCCCCGATTCCTCATCACCCTCTCCATCCCCGAACTCCTCGGATCTGGCTTGTCCGACTTCTCATTCTTCTTCCCCTTCCCGTTTCTCCATATTGCTACTCATTTCCTCCGGCTCGTGGGCTTCCACCTCGTCTTCATCTTCCTCCTCACCACTATCCCCTTCTTCCCCATCAACCGAGTTGCTGCTTCCTTCCCTAGCTGGTGGTGGTGGGGGTGATCGTGGGAACAGATTTGTGAACATGGGGATGGGTTTTGAGGTGGGGGACAAGGGAGGTGAGTCTGCATATGAGAGTGCCTCCCTTGCAGACTGTTGATGCAGCCCCTGGTGCATGCGGCTGAGTGCATCCACATTCCGATGTGTCTCCCCAGGTCAATAGGAGACGGTAAAGTCGTAATCCTGATGGAGTATACTCCACCTGACCAACTTCCTCGTTAATCCTTGGCCGTCAATTGCCACGGTAGGGCTTGGTGGTCGGTCTGCAGCAGAAACCGGCTCCCATAGAGGTAAGGCCGGAAATGTCTGATGGCCCACACCACTGCCAAGCACTCACCGTGGGTGGACGACAGGTTCTTCTCTGCCCCCCTTGTCGTACGGCTAGCGTACGCCACCACTCGTTCCGCTCCCTTTCCATCCTTTTGAGCTAGGATGGGCCCCAAGGCCGTAGCAGAAAAATCCATCTGGAGGATAAAGGGCTCAGCAAAATCTGGGAATGCAAGGATGAGTGGGGAGATTAGAGCCAATTTGAGGGCATTGAATGCCTTCTCACATTCATCTGTCCACTCAAACGGGTGGTCCTTGTGCAGCAGTTGCGTGAGGGAATGCGCCACCTTCGCATACCCTTTGATGAACTGCCGGTAGTAACTGGTGCACCCCAGGAACTCCCGGACCCCTCTCACATCCACCGGCGCACTGATCGCTTCCACCTTTCCAGCATCCGGCTTCACCCCATCCCGTGTCACGATGTGCCCCGAGTAGATCGTGGAGTAGAACCTCAGCTCGCATTTGTTGGGCTTGAGGAGCAGGTGGTTGGCCTTCACCCGTTCGAAGACATCCCGTAGGTGCTCCAAATGCTCCTCCCAACTGTTGGAAAATACTATGATATCATCGAGATAGGGGATGGCGTTAAGATGGGTGCGGAAAATGGTGGTCATGAGGCGTTGGAACGTGGCAGGTGCATTTTTCAAACCGAAAGGCATCCGCACATACTCATACTGGCCCGAGGAGGTCACGAATGCGGTCTTAGGGATGTCCTCCTCGGCCACCTGGTTGGTATGGTAAGCCGATTTGACGTCGAGGACGGGGAAGTACAGGGGCCCCGTCATCCGGTCGAGGATGTCATCGATCCTCGGCATGGGAAACTGGTCCGCTGATTCCGTCACTGCATTGAGGGGCCGGTAATCGATCACCACTCGATCCCCGAAGTCCCTGTTCGGGATGACAATGCAGTGGGAGGCCCAGGGGCTGTTGGAGGGTCGAATCACTCCTTGCTCTAAGAGGGCCGCTATCTCCTCTTCTATCCGAGCTCGTTCTGAGGGGGACACACGGTATGGTTTGTGGGAGATGGGTTTGGCCGACCCGGTGGCAATATGATGGAGGACAGTGGGGTGGGTCCCTAGCGGTTCTGCTTCCGTAGCAAAGACCTCCCGGTAGTCCACCAGCAGTTTCCTTAGGTCTGTCTCCTGGTCCGTCCCTAGTTCGTGGTTGAGTGACACTGGCAAGTCTTCGAAGGCAGGGCAGGCAACTTTAGGGGCTTCCTTTTTAAGGCTGTAATAACTACCGGGAACTATCCGGCCTCTATCCCCCTTTGCAGCAGCTATGTATTGCCACCGTTCAGCTGCCGGGAAGTTGAATAGCTCGAACAGGTAGTCTGGACTAATCCGGTGCCCCTTCCCCTCATATGTCAGCTCCCCTTCCTCCACCAGACACTCTTCACCGTCCGTCATCGATTCCTCTTCCCACTGGTCCGTGATTTCCCCCTTTTCCTCCACAACCTTCTTTGCCTCCTCATACCCCATGTCCCATTGCGGTTCCCTCCTCGTCCACATCTGATGCCCCAAGATCAGAGTAATGTTTCCTAGTGGCATGCAACTGGTTGGTACGGAAGAGGCTTGATCTGTAAGAGAGTGGAACTGAGAGACTCCCTCAACATAGCCAAGGTTAACATGACTATCATAGCAGCAAAAGACGCCGATGCCGGGGATCGAACCCGGATCTTCCGCGTGACAGGCGGAGATACTGACCATTATACTACATCGACATGTGTGTTGAGATTACGTTACGTTGTTTTATAGGATAAACATTTTGTCCTGGACCTCACAGGTGGAACTTGGCCGGTGACAGAATGTATGTAAGGTCGGACTGAAAGGTACAGGGGCGACTCGGGAGTGTTTCAAGCCAGAGGAACGGAATGTACTTGGTGGGGCTTTACGAGATACTCTGGTCTTCGCTAATGTAACTTCTCGCTCAGCAGGTTGCCGAAATGCCTCGCGACAAAGCGTCATCGCATCGCGCCTCCACCTCCTCCTCCTCCTCCTCTTCTCGCTCACAGTCGCACGCTAAATCGCAGTCGCGGGCGCAGCGCCAGTCACATTCGAGCAACCCTAATCGAAGCGAACCTCGCGGTAACAGCAGCAGCGCAGCCGGCGGCCACTATAACGACGGCATTGCGGCGCAGCGATCAGGATACAGCGGCGCGAGCCTCGCGTCGCCTGCCACCATCCCCGTTAGTAGCGTTGATCGCGGCGATCCCAATGACGAATCACCTTACAGCAGCAGAAGCGGGAGCTATCAGAACGGCAACGGCGGTAGGGGGGAACATGCGACGAGAGGGGGAACGGGAAGGGGAGGGGGAGGAGAAGCGGGAAGAGACGGCAGCGAAATACAACCGTTCATCCGATCTCACCACGCGGCTACGCCGTTGATGCGCCCATCAGAAATCGCACTCGAGCCCCCCTCCGCCGATGTTCCTTCCCCCTCCGCCTTCCTTCCCCCCATGAGCCCCGAATCCATCCCTCTCGGCCTTTCCTCCCTCCGCTCGCTCTCCGCGCTTTCCGCCACCCCACTCTGGCCTCCTCCGCCAATTGCGGAATGGCCTCGGGCCGCCGTGGATCACGGCCCGCGAATCGCGGCCGCGGCAGTTGATGTCGCAGATAGGCTGCTGTCTACAGTGCCACCTCTGCTGACGCAGGCGCTGACGTCAGCGGCGGGAGGGGTGCATCGGTACCTGCAGCGGTTCAGCGTGTATGTGATTATAGCGAATGCGGCTCGGCCCGTGCTGAGGCCTGCTGTGGATAAAGCGCAAGAGGTGCTCGATAAGGTACAGTACAGCTGCGCTTATAATCACGATCTTTATAAGGTACAACTGCTCGTCCACGTCTTTCCCCGTCCCTCGGCAACCCACCGTCCCACACAGCCCCCTCACAACTACCATGGGCAGCCAATTCCTTGAGTCGCCGTGACTCAGATGCCTTCCTCCCTCACCTCTGCCCAACCCTTCCCCCACACCACATCCCGTTAAGACAACCACCATGCCAATCCGTCTGCTATGGCTGTGTGTGGCACCGCCATCGACCGCTTCAAATCCCACCCGCCATGATATGGCCTCTGCTGCTGCTGCTGCTGGTGGCAGGCATCGCATGCATGCACGCTGCCCTCGCTGCTCTCCACGTCCCACGACCCCGCCTACTGCCCTGCCTCGCGCGTCGCCCTCACCCCGCCGCATCCCTGCCACCCACAAAATTTCACCTCCCTTCCTCCCCATCCCAACCTCTCCCGCACTCTCCCTCCGCCACCCCACCTTGCCCCTCCAGATACCCCCTATGAGCACCATCCCGGGGCGCCTGGTATGGCTGGCGGTGCTGCTGCTGCTGGCGTGGGCGGCATGCACGCTGCCGTCGCTGCTGTCCACCCTGCACGACCCCCAGTACTACTCCGCCTCGCCCTTCCCCCGCCGCATCCCCGTTCTGGGCGATGGCGGCTCGGCTCCTGTCTTCTCCAATGCTGGCTTCAATGTCGAGGCTGCTGCCAAGTGAGTGAGTGAGTGAGTCAGTGAGTGGGTGAGTGAGTGAGTGGGTGAGTGAGTGAGTGAGTGGGTGAGTGAGTGAGTGAGTGGGTGAGTGAGTGAGTGAGTGAGTGATTGAGTGCATGAGGGAGTGGGTGAATAAGCGAGTGTGTGGAGTGAATGAGTGAGTGTGTGCGTGCAATGAGCGTCTGTGGGCATGATTGTGTGGGGCCGTCTCTCCTCCTCTCCTTTTCTATCGTTCCTCCCTTCTCAGCTCTCTCTCTTTCCTCTATCGATTCCCTCTTCGCTCATCTCCCTTCAATCCCTCTCTGTTCCGCTTTCTTTCTTTCTCCCCTCCGCCATCCATTTCCCCTTCCCTGCCTGCATTCCCCCTTTCCTTCCCCCTCCATTTCCTCCCCTCCAATGCTGGCAGGATGTGGGAGGCGAAGGTGGGCTGTGCGCGCTTCAGGTGGAAGCACAGGGACCTGCTCAAGAAGTACTCTTACTCCTCCGCCTTCCCCAAAAGCTCCAGTCTTCAGGTGCGGCGCGGCCCCGTGGGCGGGAATGATTCTTGGCCGGGTGCCGGGCAGGTTGATGAACGCCACTGAAAAGTTGGAGATATTCTAGGGAGGGAGAGAGGGGTGGGGGTGGGGAGGGAGGCAGTATTTGGGCGGCAAATTAGGCCCAGGTGGCGTGAGAAGGCTTGCGCTCTGATCGGGTTAGTGGTAAGTAGCAGGAGAACATACAAGGCTGGGTTGGGAAGTTGGGACAAGTGCTTTCTTGTTGGGTTCTAAAAAAATCCTTTTTTCTTTTCTGCCGGGGAAACTTGAGGATTGTTTGTTCGTGTCCACACAACGCTCGCCCACTTCTTGTTGTCCAACTCAGGTGCAACCATTCATTGCTGGTGCAGCAGCGGACGGGCCCGCTTGCTTGGCCTTGAGTTGACTTTTGAGTCGACCCAAAAGTCAACTCAGGTGCAACCATTCATTGCTGGAGCAGCAGCGGGCCCTGGCCTTGAGGTTTTGCCACTGTTGAGAGGCCGGGTAGTGTGCCTCAATATTCCAATCAGAAAGAAGCACAGCACCACGCCACACACATCGCCGATGCTCAGACCCCCTCTCCTCTCTTCAATGCACATTGCATCACATCAACTCCCACCCAGTGTGTGTGCTTCCTGAGACTCTCTGTGTTGCAACAACACCACCTGAGCCTCACAGCATGCTCCCATCCTGCCACCCGTCCTTTTCTCCACCACCCCTCCCCTGTCCCTCCACCCCTCCCCTGTCCCTCCACCCCTCCCCTGTCCCACCACTACCCCCCTTGCACCCTGCACGCACAGGACCCCAACAGGGTGGCGTGTCGGCGAATGCAGCTGCGCCACATCACCATCCTGCTGCCACCTGGCGCTGAGTCATGGATGTGGCCGCACAAGCTGGAGGGCTTCTACCACTGCCCCCGCTGCGGCATCACCTGCCAGGTGACTGTTGCTTTCACCTGCCAGGTGTTTGTTGCTTTCACCTGCCAGTTGTTACCTGCGTATCTGTTGCTTCCACTTGCCAGATCACTGTTGGTTTCACTTGCCAGGACCAAAGAAACAGAATTCACCAAATAGTTTAGTGTCTTTTGAGTTGTGATACATCAGTAGTTTTGAGCAAAAAGATATTGTTTTCCATCACACTGTTGACATTAAAAAGCGTAAACTCGTTTGTTTACACACGAGAGCGCGATAATGTCGTGCCAACTCACGCCACGCCAACTCGCACGAACATCTCAAGAACTTCACCCACCCCTCGCCCATTGCACACACGCACGCACAAGCCCAACCCACTCCCTTCCCCCTCCCTCCTCTTCCTTTTCCCCATTCCCATTCCCCTCTTCTCAGATCTCGTGGTCGCCCCTCATGGCCCTCCAGGCAGACGCCACGCTGCATGTCTGGCCCGCAGACCCACCTGCCGACAGATCGAGAGGGCAGCCCCTACGAGTGTACCTGAACCTGGAGTCGTGGGGGCTGCTGGAGAAGCGCCGCCTCTTCGACGTGGGCGTGTCGCCCTTCGCCAGCAGCGACGTGCAGCTCACCTACTCAGGCGTGCACCACACGCTGGAGACCGGCAGAAGGCAGTTCTTCTCCAAGATCAAGCGCCAGGTCCGTCAGAGATGCGTGGGCGTGGGACAGGACAGGACCGACCCTGCTACGGTTAGTGCAAGGGACGCAAGGGGCCTGGTGCACCACGTACACACAAGGGGGCTGGTGCACCACGTACATGCCGTGCTCACAGCACCGTGCCTTGGTACTGCCACTGCGAGGGGAGGCAGGGTGTGGCCTTCATGCCCTCTTAGCCCTCCCGGCCAGCACAACGGGGTCAAGACTTCCCTGGACAATACGTGTCCTCCCTCACACACGGAGTGCCCTTCCGCTTCCCCTGCGCTCTCTCCCCTCGCCTCCCTCAGGGTGCCCCTCCCCTTCCCCTTTGCGTGCCATGCTGTCACAGCCACGTCCTGGTAATCCATGTCTGGTACCCATGCCATCATCGTCTTCACCACTCTGCATCCCTCTCCTTGCCCCCATCCTCCCAGAGTAGCCTCTGTACCGCGTGCCTCTGTACCGCGTGCCTCTGTACCGCGTGCCTCTGTACCGCGTGCCTCTGTATGAGTGGCGAGAGGGGCTGGTGAGGGACGTGTGTCATCCCTCTCTGCCCTGCCCCTCCTCTTCCTGCCCCATGTGCCTCCCCCACATAGTCTTTCCTTTCCCCCTATTACCCAAGACACACCTCTGTACCGTGCATCATCGCACTGCCAGTACGAGTGGCGAGACGAGAAGGGCTGGCGAGGGACGTGTGTACCCCTCTTCCCTCCCTGTGTGTCTGTCTCTCCATCACACATAGCGCCCTGCGCGTCTCCTCTCCTTCCCCCTCCCCTTCTTCTCCCCCAGGATGTGCCTCTGTACCGTGCATCGTCGCACTGCCAGTACGAGTGGCACGAGGGCCTGGTGAGGGTCGTGTGTCTCTCACTGGCCTGTCCTGTGTATCGCCCTCTCATTCTCTCTCCCCCCTTTCCCGCAGGACGTGCCTCTATACCGTACATCATCTCACTGCCAGTACAAGTGACGAGAGGGGCTGGTGAGGGCCGTGTGTCTGTCACTGCCCTTCGCCTGCCCTATTTGTCTGTCGATCTCACACACACAACGCCCTTTCGCCCCATTCCCCTTCCCCCTCCCTTTCTTCCCCCCCAGGACGTGCCTCTATACCGTGCATCCTCCCACTGCCAGTACGAGTGGCGGGAGGGGCTGGTGAGGGACGTGTTCGCCCTGGTGCCTCACCACAGCTTTGGGCACTGCGACAACAACATGAACGGCAGCGATGCTGAGCTGCTGCTCTACCCTGCATGCTCCCACCCGTGAGTGGGAAAAAGGGAGGGGGAGTGAGTGGGAACAGGGAGGGAGGGGTGTGGGCACCTGGGTGGTAGTGGCAATGGCTTTGGGCACTGCGACAGCAACATGAACGGCAGCGATGCTGAGCTGCTGCTCTACCCTGCATGCTCCCACCTGTGAGTGGAGGGGAGGGGCACAGGAAAGTGGGGAGCGGAAAGGGGGAGGGAGGGGGGTTTGGAACCTCAGTGGAAGTGGCAATGGCATTGGGCACTGCGACAACAACATGAATCTCCTGCTCTCCACTCGAACTAATGGACAGCAAAGTGAAGGAGGATTCGAGGGTGGTTGTGCCGCTACGTTCTTCATTTCTGCCCTCTTCCGCTTCTTCTTAATCTTTTTTTTGTCCTCCACCTCCTCTTGACCATTGGATTCACCTCTCATCAACTCTGCACTCGTGAATACACCTGGTAAAAAAGACTCTATCACAGCCACGTCACAAGCATGCGCTGCACCTTCCTTGTTGTACCTTCCAATGTAATTTTGTTTTTTGCGAAACATGATATTTTGCCTGCCAAGCCCGGCTCTTCGTGTGCCAAAATACTCCCTTAAACCGGGACAACCGGGCCAGAGTGATCTGCATTCGGATCACTTTTGAGGCGCCTCAAAAGGCATATTTTTGGCCAGAGTGACTTGCATTCGGATCAGAAGCAGATAAGCGCGCCACGTTGCATGCAGTGCAAGCGTCGTGCATGCTCATGGCGGGGTGAGAAGCATTCAGCAGACGGAAATCGCAGCGTGTGTGTGCCATGTCAAAGTTCACCCCCACTCTTCCCCGTCTCTGCCCCCATGTGGATACACCCCCCATACCCTGCACCACCTTCCCAGAATGAGAAGCATTCAGAAGACGGAAATCACAGCGTGCGCCTTGTCACCCCCACGCCCCCTCCCATCCCCCTTTTCTCCTCCCCCATGTGAACTCATCCCTTTCCCCTCCTCCTTCTCCCCACCCCCCAGGGTGATAAGCGTACTGAAGCAGGAGATATCAGCATGCGCCATGTCGCACTACAAGTTCATCCTCAGCACCGAGAACACACGTGTGCCGGGCTACGTCACAGAGAAGGCCCTCGAGCCCCTGGAGGCGGGCACAGTGCCCGTGTATTATGGTGCACCTGACATCCGCAGCTTCATGCCGCCCGAATCATTCATTGATGGATCCAAGTACACGGCTGCACAGCTCGCCACACTCATCACTGCGCTCAATAATGACCCAGGTGTGTTGTTTCGGTTGATTCAGAGTTTTTCAGGTTGCCTCTCTGGAGCAACTGGAGCCTTTGGAGAGGCCCTGGAGGCGGGCACAGTGCCCATGTACTATGGGGCGCCTGACATCCACAGCTTCATGCCGCCTGATTCGTTCATCGACGGCTCTAACTACACGGCCGCCCGGCTCGCCACACTGATTGCTGCGCTGAATAACGACCCACGTGTCAGAATGTTCCAGCTTCTCAGTGGTCACCTCTCTGGTGCAGAGCAGCTGCCGCTCCTGGGAAGTCTCTGGAGAGCCCCTGGAGGCAGGCACAGTGCCCGTGTACCAGAGCGTGCCCGTGTACCAGAGCGTGCCCGACATCCACCAGTTCATGCCGCCTGAGTCGTTCATTGATGACTCCAAGTACACGGCCGCACTGCTCACCACACTCATCACTGCGCTCTCAACAATGACCCAGGTGCATAGTTGTCTCGACATTCTCTTTTGAGAATTCTCACACGTGACTCAACTTCAAACAGGGACTCAACTTCAAACACGGACTCAATGGTCACCAAGTAAACGACTGCGCAGCTTGCCACACTCGTCACTGCACTCGGTAATGATGCGGGTGCATTATTGGAACCATGACGATTCAGGTGCAGTACTGGCACCATGATGATGCGGGTGGAATTGGTGATGTGATCCTTGCTCCCACTGCATCCATCCTTGCTCCCACTGCATCCTTGCTCCCACTGCATCCATCCTTGCTCCCACTGCATCCTTGCTCCCACTGCATCCTTGCTCCCACTGCATCCATCCTTGCTCCCACTGCATCCTTGCTCCCACTGCATCCATCCTTGCTCCCACTGCATCCTTGCTCCCACTGCATCCTTGCTCCCACTGCATCCATCCTATCCATGCATCTTCACTGCATTGCTTCTCCTGTCTTGTGCCTGCTCTTGTGCTCTAACCTATGCATTTCGTGCCTTCATATGCTCCTGCCTTCATGTGCTGTGCGGTGTGCTGCGGTGCAGTGAGGTACATGAATTACTTCGCATGGCGCATGTGTGGAGTGCCAGGCCCATTCGCCCATGTCACAGCACTCAACTTCGACTCTTTCCCTTGCCGCCTCTGTGAGGCTGTCAGCGCCCGTGGAGGCAGAATGTTCTAGTCCAAACGCTTCATGCGGTGTGATGTGGTGTGGTGCGATGGGGTGTAGTGCAGTGCGCTGCGGTGTGTGTGTTGCGAGGCTCAGTGCTTGTGGGGAAAGAATGTTCTAGTTGACGGTCTCTCAAGGCTTTTGGAGTCTGCACATGCCAGTCGAGCAAAGCTTGTACACTCAATGTCATAGTAAGGAACGCTGAAACACTGTCAGTATGCAAGTTTCATGTTCCCCAAGTGCTTGAAACAGCATTGCTTGGAGCACATACTCCTGCATATTCCACCCGGGACGGGCATGACGTATGTGGGAGAGACGTACGGCAGGTGTGTGCAAGGATGGAGAGAGGACTGGGTAGTAAATAAGCGAGGGCAGGGGAGAGGGTGGGAGTAGACGAGACGAAGCAATGCGTGCAGGCTGGGATCCAAGACACGTTTGAGCATGGTGGCAGCGTGACACTGCCATGGCATGCCATGGCATGGTGCACGGCATGGTGCACGGCATGGGACATGGGGCATGGGGAATGGGCACAGCACAAGCACATCAGGCTCATGTCACGTCTTATGGTGTTACCAGGTTCGAGTGAGGGACAAAGCGACATAAGCTGCTGCTGTCCTTGCACGAGGTCGAGCATGGGCGAGCATTAACGTGTGAGCTGTAAAAGAACGTCTTGGAAGGACCAAGAGTTGCTGGTTTCCTGATCTCATCTCCGGTCATGCTGTCTCTTTTGGATGCAGAATCAGGCCTTTCTCAAAAAGCATACATTGGAGGACTTGATTGGGTGAAACATGCCAGACAGAAGCCACTTAGGTCCTCAGATTTAATCTCATTCAGAGAAACAGCAGTGCAGCAAGCAGTGTCGCCAGCAGTGCTTTCGGCCAACCTGCAAGCAAAGCAAAGCGGAGAGTGGCGATGAGGCAAACACAGATTCCAGAAACGGGAGTCAAGAGCAGTGACATGAAGCATGAACATGGCGAGGCCAGTGGAGCTTCAACAGGTGGGGATACAGCAGGTGGGGCATTAAATCGGCAGGGCATGCATGCTCACCAGAAACACATAATCTGTGAGAGGGCCTGGGGTGTGGAGGGGGGGCGTGGTCACGGTTGTAGCGCAGAATATCCTCTGTCACCTCGCCCATGCCGCCCAGATATGCCCGCGTCAATGAGTCCACTCGCACTAGCCCCTTGGCACTGGGAGCAACAGGCAGCAGTGGGGATGAGGAGGGGCACATGCATTCGGCACTAGGGTGGGAAGGAAGGGGAGCGTGGTCGCGGTTGTAATCTTTTGGGCGCCTCAAACAATGGCACTGCACGCGACAGGAGGGTGAGGAGGGGGGCAATCTTTGAGCGGCATGTTGATCAGTGAGGCAGACAGAGAGATCACGGCACGTAAGCGAATGGAAAAAGCAGGAGCAAATCAGCGGGACACAAGCATTGCGCATCCCAACGCGGCCATGCAGAACAGGCAGGAAAGGAAAGTGCCCGGCAAGCGAGGGAAGGCTGAACAGGTAGATGCGGGGCAGAGGCAGCAGCCACACAGAACACAGACACAGGACTTGGTGCCCCGCCCCTCCAATCAAGCATGCTTTGGAAGCACTCATGACGAACCATGGGGAGCAGGGCAGTGACTTGTGAGTTGACTCACAAGTCAAACGTCGTCTGGGTGCAGTGCACTGAAGAACACAGGCAACGGCGAGCTCCATACCAGAGAGAGTATTTAGCCCAAGGAAACGTCTCAGAAGGAGACACGGAAAGTGGAGTGGCACCTAGCTGGCAGAGAGAATTAGTCAAAGGGGTTGCGGCCGTCATAGAGCACATGGTGGATGGGAGAGGTACCTTGCCGAGAGTTGAGAGGGAGTTACCAGCGAGAGGTGTGCTACGGTGCTACCTGCCCAAGCGGATGTAGTCCAAGGGGTTGCGCCCCTCGTATAGTGCCTCGCGCCACGCCCTGGCGGTTCCTGCCAGCTCCAGCCACGGCGCCTGCTACCATGGCCCGCTTGAAGCAGATACAGACACTGGCTGGCACGGCGCCTACCTGCCGGAGAGGATGTAGTCGAAGGGGTTGCGGCCCTCGTATAGTGCCTCGCGCCATGCTTTGACTGTGCCTGCCAGCTCCAGGCGTGCCACTATGGCCTGCTTGAAGCGCTCCGATATGCTGTTGCGCGTCATCACCACATTGGCTGGCACACTGCCGAAGCTGGCAGAATCAAGTAGCAGAAGGGGGGCGATGAGCAGGAAAGAGAGAGGGGGGGGGGGGGGGGGGAGGGGGGAGAGAGGGGTTTGACAAGCAGGAGCAGCGTTGGTTTGAGAGAGTGAGGTGCAGGTACATGTGTTGCGCATGAGTGTGGCAACGGCCGACTTTTGAGATGTCTCGAAAGGCAAGTGTGGTAACGGCCGGCCACCAGCAGCACGGGAGCCTCGCACTGTATGACCTTTGAGTTACTCGGAGATCACTCTGGTGGTACAGGGGCCATGAGCTGTAGTGGCAGGGAGACATGGCTCCTCTGCACGCACCACCCGTGATTGCCACTCTCTTGCCCACCAGCGACAAGCACATGCATCCAAACTCATCCGCTGCTATCAGCGCTCAACCGCTGCAACGCTGCTGCTTCTCAACCAGGAGCTTCACGCACAGTCGCAGCTATCGCATGCCCCACTCATGTGCAACTGGCGTCCACGTTCTCCCCTCCATGCATCCCCCCACCATGGGCGGGCACAGCAGTCGAAACTCACGTGCTGATACTGCTGCCCACACCCACGCTTGCTTGCTTGCCCCACTCACGTGCAGTTGGCGTCCACGTTCTCTGTGACCTCCAAGCATCCCCCCACCATGGGCGGGCACAGCACGCGGAACTCCCCCAGATCTTGCAGCGACCACGCCTGCTGGAACCGTCCCCCCCGGGCGAACCAGAGCGGCGTATCGAGCCTGAGGAAGGCCACGTCGCCCGCCTGCTCCATGAGACACCGGAAGGCGCCGTGGAATCCCGCATACGTGTCCTCCTCGTCACATGTCCCGCGCCCGTTCACTGACACACACCCACTGCACACCCGCCCCGTGTCCCCTCTCCCCACGTTTCCCCCTTCCTCTCCCACCCCTTCTCCACCCCCACCTCCTCCCCCAGTAGCAGCAGCAGGCGTGGGGCCGAGGGTGCCGTCCCCTCCAGGGGCGCACGACTCAGGGAAGACGGCCTTCACTAGAGTCACATCCGCTGGCTCGCCTTCTACAAACGGTGGCGCTGCAAACCCGCCTCCTAGCCCTGCTCCTTTTCCTCCTCCGCCCCCTCCCCTTACACCCTTTCCCCCACCCACTCCTCCCACGTCCCCCTTGCCTCCAAACCCCCCACTTCCCCCGCTGCTGCCCCCGCTGCTCCCCCTACCCCCTCCACCCCCACCACCCCCCGCACCCTGCGCGCCCAAAGCGCCCCCAAGCTGGGACTCGAGGTCAAGAGCAAGCAGGGAGCGCACAGGGAGGTCCCAGCCAGCAGCGGAGGCGTAGAGCGGGTGGCACGTCTTGAAGCGGTGCAGCTGCTGCCAGGGGCCCGCCGGGATGCTGGACAGCAGGGGCGTGGTTGGGGAGTGGGGAGGAGAGGTGGGGGCGGTGGTGCTGGTGGTGGTGCCGCGTGGTGTGCCCGGGATCGTCTGTGCGTCAGTTTCGTTTCCAAGTGTAGTGCTACCAGTACCACCACTGCTACCGCCACTGCTTCTGTTCACAGCCAAACTGCCTCCCTCACCCACCGCACCCTCTCTCCCATCCCTATCTCCTCCCACACCACCAACGCCAGCAGCACCCTCACTCCACGTGAGCCCCTCACTCCCCGCCTCTCCCCGCCCCGCATCGCTAGCATCGCACACATCTCTGCGCACAACAGCGACAGCAGGGTAGGCCTCCCCCCATGCGAGGCGCTCGCTCATGAGGGCCTTCATGCGGCCGTGCAGGAAGGCTCGGAACGCCAGACCTGCGTCTAACGAGACGAGCTCCGCTTGAGAGGCCGCAATCGCGCCCATGCACTCCTGCTTGCTGCGCCGCTGCACACTGGGGTAGGGTGTGGGGCAGGGCGGGCATGAGGGCATGGCGTGCTTATCAACGATCAGCCACTGGACCACTGCTCGCCCCGAGTGGCTGGCCGCTATGGCATGCTCTCCTGCTTGCTGCGCCGCTGCACACTGGGGTAGGGTGTGGGGCAGGGCGGGCATGAGGGCATGGCGTGCTTATCAACGATCAGCCACTGGACCACTGCTCGCCCCCCGTGGCTGGCTGCTATGGCATGCTCTCCTGCTTGCTGCGCCGCTGCACACTGGGGTAGGGTGTGGGGCAGGGCGGGCATGAGGGCATGGCGTGCTTATCAACGATCAGCCACTGGACACTGCTCGCCCCGAGTGGCTGGCCGCTATGGCATGCTCTCCTGCTTGCTGCGCCGCTGCACACTGGGGTAGGGTGTGGGGCAGGGCGGGCATGAGGGCATGGCGTGCTTATCAACGATCAGCCACTGGACCACTGCTCGCCCCGAGTGGCTGGCCGCTATGGCATGCTCTCCTGCTTGCTACGCCGCTGCACACTGGGATGAAGCGGAGAGGGATGAGGGTATGGGGGCAAGAAAGCATGAGTGCATGCGAGCAGCACATGTAGGGATGGGATGAGGGGATGAAAGGTTGGGGGATGAGGGGAAGAGGGGGGGGATGAGGGGATTGAAACAATCTCGAGTTATGATCTCGCCGCTGCGCACTGGGGTGGGGAGGGGCAGGGTGGGCACGAGGGCAATGCATTTTGATCATTGATCGGCCGCTGGAACACTCACCCTGCATGGCTGGCCGCTATGGCGCCCATGCACTCCTGCTTGCTGTGCCACTGCACACTGGGATGAGGAGGCGGGGGGCAGAGCGGAGCAGGGCGGGGGTGCAGTGATGATGTTCGCACAGCAACAGTAATGATGGTCGCAAAGGACAGGACGACCACATCAAGACATGACAGTTGCATGGTCGCACAGGATAGGACAAGACAGAGGCATGGAGGGATATACAGTCTGCTGATTTGGTAAAAACAGAACGACCTGGTTCTCACAGTTTTTTCAATGCGTTGCAGAGTTATAATCATCTCAAAATCAGAAGGCAAATTGTGTGCTACAGTCACATGCACAGTCACACAATTTGCCCTCTGATTTTGAGATGCTTCTATCTCTGCAACGCATTGAAGGAACAGTGACAACCAGATCCTTCTGGATTACCAAATCCGCAAACTGTATATCTCTCCTATACATGGGCATTTGACCCGGACGGGTCGGGTAACCCGACCCGACCCGCCCGGGTCGGGTCGGGAAAACCCGGACGGGTCGGGTCGACCCGTGACCCGTCACTGTGATTTAGTGACGGGTTTTTGCAACCCGCCGGGTCAGGTTGACCCGTCCCGTCCGGGTCGCGTACCCAGTCAAATGACAGGGTTACCCGACCCGTTTTCGGATTAGGGTAGGGGTTGAACATTGGTTGGTTTTTTAGGTTTTTTTTCCCTCGACATTCTGATCTAGTCGCTAGACTAGATCAAGGCTAGTACTTCTGCGCTGCAGCTAGGGAGCCTCATACAGTCTTCACTCTTCAATGTTAGCACTATTTAAACTGCATATTATCTTCAGGTTAGGGTTTGGCGCTCCCGCCATTTCGCAGCGTCGCACGACCAGGGGCGCAGCAGCGCGCGTGCGGCCACGCATTGGCGGGATCGCGTCCCCGCAATAGCGCGATCTCGGCCCCGCGTTTGCTCAGCGCGATCACGGCCCCGCATTGGCGCGATCGCCGCCCCGCATATGCGCGATCGCGGCACCGCATTAGGACAGGGCGATCGCGGCCACCTTCAGCAGCGCGAAGGCGCCACCTTCAGCAGCGCGAAGGCGCCACCTTCAGCAGCGCGAAGGCGCCACCTTCAGCAGCGCGAAGGCGCCACCATCAGCAGCGCGAAGGCGCCACCTTCAGCAGCGCGAATATAGTTGTAACATGTAGTTTACAATGTAGCAATTCAGACCTAACCCCCATACCCTGCTGCTATGTAGCATATTTTGATCCGACCCGACCCGACCCGTGGTGTAACCGACCCGGTAACGGGTCACAAATACCCGTTCCCACGGGGCGGGTCGGGTCACCAAAACAGAGTCAAACCCGACCCGCTAACCCGACCCGACCCGACCCGTTAAGCTAACGGGTCGCCCTCAACGGGACGGGTCGGGCCGGGTCGGGTCAAATGCCCATGCTTAATCTCTCCATGCTACCGTCCTGTCCTGTCCTGCGCGACCATGCAACTGTCATATCTTGATGCGACTGTCATGTCCTTTGCTACCATCATCACTGTGCTGGCCCACCAAGATCACAGCAGACCCACCAGCAGAACCACAGCTGACCCGCCAGGACTACAGCTGACCCACCAGGACCAGCAGCTGACCCACCAGGACCAGCAATTGACCCACCAGGACCACAGCTGACTCACCAGGACCACAGCTGACCCACCAGGACTAGCAATTGACCCACCAGGACCACAGCTGACCCACCAAGACCACAGCTGACCCACCAGGACCACAGCTGGCTGTGAGTGGACAGTGCCGGCACCACCTCCCCACAGAAGGCGCACTCCCCCCGCCCCACGCAGCACCACCGCACCTCCTCCCGCCCTCCCCCTCTTCCCCCCGCATGCCCCGTGTGCCCCGCGTGTTCCCCATGCCCCACCTGCCCCACCTCCCCCCCCTGCCCCGCTTGCCCCCCAAGATCTTCTTCCGGGGGGAAGCCATCAGAGGCGGAGGGCTGCAGGGGCGAGCTGGGGGAGGCGGCATCAGAGGCAGGGGCGTGCGGAGGGCTCTGCAAGGAGGAATCTGACGTGGCATCTGATGTGGCATCTGACGTGGCATCTGATGTTTCATCTGACGTGGCATCTGAAGTCTCTCCCCCATCACCGCCAGGCGAAGAGGGAGCTTCCCCGGAGACACTGCCTTGAGGACCCCCCTGGGGGGAACCCGCAGGCGCACGTGCGGAGGGGGGGGCGGAGACTGGGGGGTGTGCGGGGTGACGCCTGGGGCGGGTGTGGGGAGTGAGATGTTGCGGTCGGGGGAGGGATCTCGAGTCTGGGAGGCTGTTTCCTCCCGCGTTGCTATCCGCCCTTGCTGCCGACGAAGACGAAGACGAAGAGACATCTGACGGCGAAGTGGGGTCTGACGAAGGAGAGGCATGGGAGGAGTCTTGAGAGTGGAGGGAGGGATCCGTGGCGGCAGGCAGACGCGCGTTCCCAGAGGGAGGAGGCGAAGGCGGCGGGGAAGAGGACGAAGAGGGAGAAGAGGTGGTGGTGCGCGTCGAGGAATTCGGGGAATCCGTTGCAGAGGCAGCGGCGTCGCTGCTAGTAGCGCCAGCCTCCGCAGCATCGTCTACACTGGCTGTTGATGTGACTGCAGCGGGGGCAGCTACACCCGCACCGGAGTTGATGCTGTGACTGATCGAACCGGTCACGGGAGCACCTGTATCGGATGTGACTGTAGCGGGGGTGGCCGTGGTGACTGCTGGTTCACTGGCGGATGTTGCTGTATCAGGGTCTGGGGAACTCCGCTCGCCCATTAGGTCGGCGTACGTTGTCAGCCGCCGGGCTCCGTTCCAATATCGAGGGCTTTCCGCGGTGATTCGCCCGCCGTGAGCGAATTCGTCTACTTTCGCGAACGCATTCGCGAAACGTAACAGCAGAAGCTGCGACACGAACAGCACCGCGGTCAGCCGACGGCCTGAACGTACTCCTACTCGCGGCCTGGCCATTATCATGGGCAGCAGATCCACGCACATGCATCAATCGTGAACATATTTTGTCGTCGGTCGTTTTCTTCTTTTTCAGGAACGTCTCAGTAGTCGCTCGCGGGTCAATGTAGCGGCAAAGTTGCAGGGCAACATGAAATCGAAGAGCTTTGTGCAGAGGTAAGTCACGTTGCTCAGTCCCGACTCCTAACATTCCCTCCTAAGCGTGACTGGGATGAATTGGGGCTGCTCCGTAACAACTATAACCAGGCAGTGAGTGTTTCGTTCAGAAAACAAAACATTCTAGTATCTTTGAGTTGAGTATGTATGTCATTCGTTTGGGTAAATCTAACGAAGTGAAACGTATAGCTGGTGCATTAGAGCCAGTTTCATTCTTGAGTGCTATTACTACTTGTAATACGAAGACTGAATATCAAATATGTCATTACATAGTGTTACAGGTGCAATGTAGCTGGTAAACGAGTATAGCACCAAGATTGGCATAAACAAACATTTATAGCGTAACAAGCAAACACTGCACCCACACCAGATGAGGGAGGGAGAGGAGTAGAGAGAACCACAAGAAACAAGAATGTCTGAGCTCAAGTCTTTTGAGTCATAGCTGTAAATTAGCTCATCAGTAGTGATGCAAGGAAGAACAGAGAAGGACTCCAAGTGAGCTTGGGGGGGATATGGGTGTGGAATAGGGGGAGAGGAACAAGGAGGGAAAGGGGTAGGAGCAAAAAGGGAAGCATGCCAAGGGGCACAAGGAAGGGAAAAGGGAGGGACAAAGGGAGGGGCAGAGGGAGGGGACGATGGGACAGGAAGAAGGGAAAAGGGAGAAAAGAGTGGATGGCAGAAGGAGGGGCGGAGGAAGCAAAACGAGAGGGAAGAGCAGTGGGAGAGGACGAGGGAAGTGTAGGAAGAGTGGCTGGGCAACATGGACAGGCTGTTAGGGAGACGGAAAGGTAGGTGAAACAATGGTCCGTTTGAAATTCAAAAAAAAATCATGAGAGAAGGATGCTGTGTTTCTCAAGCCGTGAGGGAGAATGTGTTTTCCATGACCCTAACAAAAGGTTGGCGCGTGCAAAGCAGTTTGTGGGGGACGATGCGTGCGGGGCATATGCGGACTTCGTACTCGCATAGACCCCACATGCAACATCCCCCACAAACTGCTGCACACATGACACCTGTAAGGAAATTTCCCGAATTCCTTATCGGGGTTGACTGCTTCGCGTACAGCACGATTTTCAGACTTAGCACGTTCGGCCGATTTCAACGCTGCCGAGGCTCTTCGCGTCGCCTTCGGCATTTCCCAATCGCCAAACCTGCACCCAACCTCGCTCTTCCGAGGTTCCCTCCTAGCTAGGCTAGTCCCTACATTAGTCTGTGCCTTCATTGTATTCTCAGATCAGTAAATCAACGTCTCGTTATTCGTTTACCTGCGCACTCTCTTTAACAACTCATAACACCTGGTATAAGAGCTACTTTCCTAGTGCACCCTGCTTTTCCGAGGGTAGTTTGGTGGCACGGTTGTGGCTGGCTTAGTGACTACACGACGGTTGGCCGCAAGGATTGTTAATTCACTCCTGCCCGACTTCGATAGTTCGTATCTTCACTTGCCTAAAGGCCACGGATACCCGATTGCCCACCAGACGTAGCGCTAGGCACATGGATCAGGATGCAGTTAACAGGTTGATGGCGCAAGCGGCAGAGATGCAGGAGGGCATGAAGTCATTAATGGCGGAAGTGACAACACTGCGTGAAGAAAATGCCGAGCTGTGCCAGACGCGAGGTGAAGCGTGTCAGGTGTCGCCCGATGAAGAAGGCGAGGGCAACAGTCAAGCGGTGAGCAATCCCTTAGACGCGCTCACACGTGACTTCGAAGAGGAGGACAGGCAGCGAGCGGCAGCAGCGCCAGTTGCAGTAACGACGATCAAGATAAAACCCGTCAACCCGCCCCGGATTAATCCTACGGACAAGACGGTTACAGTAAAGGGGTGGTTTTTCAGGGTTGAGGTCTTCTTCACTGCAGCGGGAATTAAAGACAGCGCTGTCAGAATATTATCTTATTGTTCTAGCCTGTAGTGGGGTGCTCTATAGCGAGTACAACCCTTCTAGGGTTTGCTATTTGTATCCTCATTCTTGCTAGTTCAACCCCTCTTTCTTTCTTCTAATTTTGACATGCTATCAGAGCAGGTCGATCCCCTTGGATCGATCCTGTGGGTGTGTCCCCACCTTGCTTCCGCTGCTAATTTTTCCTCCCGCCGTGCGCCCCGAGGCGCGCGGCGGTTTTCTGCCCGCCGTGCGCCCCGAGGCGCGCGGCGGTTCATTGCCCGCTGTGCGCCCTGAGGCGCGCGGCGGGCTTCTCCCCTACGTCGCGGCCCCGCCCCGATTGTCGCGGCCCCGCCCCTTGACGCGGCCCCGCTCTACGTCGCGGCCCCGCCCCGGCCCGTCGCCGCCCGTGCGCCTGCCCGGCTCGGCCCCGCCCTTCGTCGCGGCCCCGCCCCGGCCCGTCGCCGCCCGTGCGCCTGCCCGGCTCGGCCCCGCTCTACGTCGCGGCCCTGCCCCGGCCCGTCGCCGCCCGTGCGCCTGCCCGGCTCGGCCCCGCTCTACGTCGCGGCCCCGCCCCGGCCCGTCGCCGCCCGTGCGCCTGCCCGGCTCGGCCCCGCCATACCTTCGCGGCCCCGCCCAACGTTGCGGCCCCGCCCTATGTCGCGGCCCCGCCCTACGTCGCGGCCCCGCCCTATGTCGCGGCCCCGCCCCGACCGTCGCGGCCCCGCCCCTCGTCGCGGCCCCCCCCCCCCCCCCCCCCCCCCCCCCCTTTTTTTCTCCCCTCCCCCCCAATTCCCGTCGCCCGTCGCGGCTCCTTCGGGGGCCGCGGCGAGCTGTGGGGTGGCGGGTATGGGGGTGGTCGGTGTGCCTTCCTCCCTTTCTCCTCCTCCTCCTTCGTCTCCCACTGCTGCAGCTGTCGCTGAGGGGGGTGGTTGTGTGGGAGACTGGGTTTAGGGTTTAAGGGGGGTGCGTGGGAGTAGAGCTAGTGGTGTAGCAGTGGGTGTGTATCAGGGGGGTGGGACTGTGTGTGGGAGGATGAGCGGAGGTTGCCAGTTTGTCGTCAGCAGCACCTGTAGTCCGGGGCGCTGTCCCGGTAGCCCAGTCGTAGCCAGCTGTGCCAGCCGCCCGTGGGTCCGTTGCCCGTCCGCCGCTATTTGAGCCGCGGGGCCTGTTACTCCTGTAGTCCGGGCGCTGTCCGGTAGCCGCTGTGCCAGTCTGCCTCCTGTTGCCCGTGTGTCTGCAGCTTCAGCCGTCGCCTCCTGTCTCCTCTCCCCTCACTCTCCCTCCTCCTCACTTGCCCGTTGTGACTACCACTAGCTTTGCTTATAATTGTACACTCTAAACTATTTCTTCTTGAACTTGTGCTCAGAATGTGTGGTGACATTGTGATCCACCCTGAGCTTGTTTTTGCTTTGCCTGCTCTGCTGATTACACCCCACTTTGGCTATGGGGGTGTGTCAGAATATTATCTTATTGTTCTAGCCTGTAGTGGGGTGCTCTATAGCGAGTACAACCCTTCTAGGGTTTGCTATTTGTATCCTCATTCTTGCTAGTTCAACCCCTCTTTCTTTCTTCTAATTTTGACAAGCGCCACGCGTATTAATTACGCGGTTTCGCTTCTTCGAGGTGCAACGCTTGAATGGTGGCGCCTAACCTTGGAAACGGGGACGCCGACAGGTGTGACACATGCGGCAAACGGGACCCCAACAGTGAGTAATCAAGTGGCACAATCAATCTTTGGAGTGACCACGATACGCACGTGGAAGGAGTGGGGCACAGCCTTACAAGAGCGCTTCGAGCACGTATCCGCCTCGAAGCAAGCTCGCATGAAGCTTGTTGAAATGTAATTGTATACATTATTTTGTAACTGCCCGTAGTATAGACTTAATGTAGTTCTATGTTCTTGTGTGGTGGTGCACCCTCATGCTTGCCTATAACTTGTACCAAGTTCTATAGTGCAACCCCTCTTTGCTTTGGCAACCTTCTCGTTATCCTCTCCTTCTACCCTAAACCCTAGCCAAGGCTTCTTAGCCTTAACTAGGATTATGACATGGTATCAGAGCTCGTTCTATCCTGGCCTGTGGGCCCATCCTATGCTTCCGCTGCTGTACCGCGCGCTCGGGGCGCGCGGCGGTTTTCTGCTCGGCGCGTCCCCCCACCTGACCCGCGCCCCGCCCCACGGGACCCGCGCGCTGCCCCGCTGGACCCGCGCGTCGCCCTGCGAGACCCGTGCGTCGCCCCCGTTGGACCCGAGCGACGCCCTACAAAGCTCGCGCGCGAGGGTTCGCACGCTACCCTGCGGGGCTCGCGCGCTGCCCCGCGGGACCCGCGCGCCGCCCCTCCTGGACCTGCCTGCCGCCCGCGCCCTGCCCGTTGCAAGCGCCCCACTGCCTGCCCGCGCCCTGCACGTCGTGACGCCGCCCGCTTCCCCCCCCCCCCCCCCCCTCCTTCGATTTCCTGCTGCGCGTGCAGCCGTGTGGAGGGTATGGGGGTAGCGGGGGTAAAGGGGGGTATGGGGGTGGTGGGTATGCGTGACCAGCTGCCCCTCCTCCTCCTCTCTCTCCCACTACTGCAGCTGCCGCTGAGGGGGGGATGGAGTGGGTGAGGTTGGGGAGTGGTGCTAGCCGGGGGGGGATGTGAAATAAGGGTGTGGGACAATGGGGGGAGGTTGACAGGAGGTAGTCGTCGTGACGCCAGTGTGAAAGAAAGAACGAGAATGGATGAACTATGAATGAAGTGAGTACAAATATGAAACCCTAATTGGGTTGTACCCCCTATGGGATACCCCACTATAGCCTACACAAATAAGTAAGCTATAATGTTCTAACAGACCCCCATAGGCAAAGTGGGGGAGAACAAGGGGTCACAAGACCAGTCAAGCAAAGCAAAGCAAAGCTCAGGGTGGATCACAAAGTCACCACACATTTCGAGCACAAGTTCAAGGGCCACAAGGCCAGTTCACATGCAAGATCATATATAGAGATATACAAGAGTCAAGCAAAACAAGAGCAAGAGTATATATAGGTGAAGGTACAAGCAAGGTCAAGAAGTGAGCAAGTGAGGCAAGACAGGCACAAGACCCAGCTGCGTGCAGCAACGCTGATGATCACAAGGCGCAAGTGCCTTGGTGAAGACATCAACAGTGTTGGCCTCAGAGGCCACGTACGCAAGTCGCAACTGTCCACACTGCTGTAGCTCACGAGCAAGAAAGTAGCGGAGAGCAATGTGCTTTGTCCTGTGCTCCAGCCGCTGCTCTCGACACAAGGCCAGCATGGCCTTGTTGTCTACGTACAGGACTGGAGGAGAACGAGGCGCCTCTCCAAGGTCGGTCAGCAGGTAGGTGAGCCAGCGAAGCTCCTGAGGAGCCATAGCCCCGGCGTAGATCTCAGCCTCACAACTGGAGCCGAGAACAGAAGACGAGCGGGTAGCCCGCCACGAAACAGAGCCGGAACCAAGGCTGAAGGTGTAACCCTGTGACGACCGCTGCGTAGCCTGGTCGTCAGCCCAAGAAGCGTCCGCGTGCCCTGTGAGGACCACTGGACTGCGCCCTCCAAGCACTAGCCCCATGCCCGGCGTACTGCACAAGTAGCGCAACACCCTCTTCGCTGCAGCCATGTGCTCTGGTCGGTGTCTCCCAGGAGCAACATAGCGTGCGAGAATGCTAAGAGGGTATGCAAGGTCAGGTCGTGTGCAGGTCATCAGGTACATGAGGCAGCCAACAAGCTCTAATACCATGTGAAAGAAAGAACGAGAATGGATGAACTATGAATGAAGTGAGTACAAATATGAAACCCTAATTGGGTTGTACCCCCTATGGGATACCCCACTATAGCCTACACAAATAACTAAGCTATAATGTTCTGACAGCCACCAGCGCCAGTAGTCCG